ATATATAAACTTATATATACACGTATATATATATATATATATATATATAGATTAATGGGTATCCTTGTCATAGGAGGGGATTTCCTCCTTGACGCCTCTAAAATCACATGATTGAGCGACATTATGGATGATCCCTCCGTTGAACTTGATCTACATATTCTAAAACGCCAACACACCAAGTTTTGGGTAAATCCGTCGTCGTTTGACCCTCTATCGAGCCATGTGAAAAGTTCTATTCATTCAAAACCGTTAAAATTGATACGAGTGGATGAAGGGTCAAACGACGACGGGTTCACCCCAAACTTGGCGTGTTAGGGTTTTAGAATATATAGATCAAATTCAACGGAGCGGATCATCCACAATATCGCTCAATCATGTGATTTTAGAGGCGTCATAGGAGTAAAGATAACTTAAAACTTGAGTTTGTAGAGGAAAAGAGGAAAAAGTTTAGTCCCACATTGGAAAAGAGATGGGAAGATAGGCTCTTTATAAGCCTTCATTTTCTCTCCTATGCCTAGAAGAAAACAAAGGTTATGCTCCACACCACACACGCGCGCGCCGGCCGGGCCGGGCTCGGGTTCGGGTCGGGTCGGGTCGGGGGGCGCACACGACCTGCGGACACGAATGCCACTCCGGATTAATGGGCCCTTAATCTGCTACATTTTTATTTTTATTTTTTGCTAATTAAAAACCATGATTAACATTTATAACATGATTAAATACGTGATTTAATTTTGTAACAGAAATATTTTGTAACGGCTAAGATTTATTAATGTGATTAAAAAACAACGTGATAAATATTTTGCGAATTAATTATGTAACGGAAATATTTTGATTTTATAACGGCTAAGATTTATTAATGTGATTAAAAACGTATTAATTACGGCTTATGAGTAACGGCTGTTTTAACCCTATAAAAGGACCTAAACCAAAGAGTTTTATACAGTGTGAAAAACATAACGTATTCTCTCTTCCTCTCTGCTATTTCTCTTCATATTACTATCGTTACATTTTTGGTTCCCTGAAAGTCACGAAGAATTCACAAAGCCTTCTTGAAGCTCGTGCCGACGAGAAGGAGATCACCTGACCGAGGGTCGTTGTATCTCCGGGAACTTTTGCCGCGTAGCCCTGTACGAGAGGGGGCAATTAGTTTCTTGGAACAGTGCTTGCACGCCTCGACCATCAGGCCGTATTTCTAACCCTTATTTCTTTTTGTTTGAATTATTTCTTACATCTGCGTTACAATATTAATCCGTGATTATCTGTTAATTATTAAATTGCTTAAACTGATTCCGCTTTGGCGAAAGGGTCACCTCAGTCTCTCTCTCTCTCTCTCTCTTTTTATTTTATGAAAAGCTCATTGACGCCTCTCATTGATTCATCATACAACAAACAACAAATTGAATGGGAGAAACAAACACAATTATTTAGGAACCCATTCTTTTCTATTTTTTCCAAGGATTTCCACTCTTTTTCCGTATTAACATTTGGACAACTTTCCTAATTTTAATTTTCCTCCCTCATCCCTTTACAAATACACGTGATCCAAATACGAGAGCTTCAAACTTTGGGTGAAACCCTTTATTTCCTCCAACCTTGCTTCCATGCAAAGGGATTTAAAAAAAAAATAAAAATAAAAAAAAACCCCTCTCATTATTATGATTGCTACCATTATCTGTCCTAAATTAATTGAGTGCCCACATGCCTTTAGGCATTACTAGCTCATAGGCCACCAATCATGTGGGCTTGATGCTTGGTTTGAATGAAAGCAAATAATTCATTTCTAGAGCTTCTCCAATGTGAGGCTCTATTTTGGAGCCCAAACTTTGGCATATTCCTTAGAATATGCTAAAATAGAGTTATGTAACTCCAACCACACTCCTCTATTTCCAACTCCATTTCAATTTCTCTCAATTTTTAATTCGTTTACTTATTTTAAAAATATATAATGTAATCATATATTTAAATAAAATTAATTTTCTTTAATGAATTGATAATAAGAAATAGATAATTGTCTTTAAATTATAATATATTTTTATTTTTAATTACTTGGTTCTTGGAATTTTATATTTCAATTAATATTATTTAATATTACTCTCATTTTGAATATTTAAAAAATAAAAAAATAAAAGTTATATAATATAAATAATATTATTAATAATATTATTAAATGTATTAATATAAAATAGGCAATCTGATTAAATTAAACAGACATTCATATTACTAAATCCACGACTATTACATAGAAAACAAAAGCATGAATTAAAAATTACATGACAAATAGGAAAAACATAATACATGAAAATACTAAAAGTCTGGAAAGTCAACTCCTCCGTATCCACCTCCTCTGTAGTCAGGTATTCCGTATTGACTTCCTGCGTAGCTGTATTCAGGATTAGGAATATCAGATGAGGAACCCCTAGTTATATTTCTATTTAAAATCTGTTGTTGTTTATTTCGAAAATATTCGCGTTTTGTTGGATCGGTAATAGCTTCCAGATCAACTAGCATAATTTCTTTCTCTTGTCGTTCTTGCTGAAGTTCTAACTTTTTCTTATCATTTTCAGCCTTTAACATCATAGCCTGGTTCATTGTCAATCTTTCATTTTCTCGTTGTTCTTTACCTTTTTTTAAAACTTCTAAGATTTCTTGATTTCCTTTAGCAAAATCCTCAAAGTCAATGTTCCTTTCAATTTCTTTCCGTCTTCTCAACTTCTCTTTCTTCCTTCCAATTGGTCGACTAGTTGAAATGCTCATTGGTGAATGGTCGTCGTCATTAGGACTATATGCCTGATTGTCTTCATTTAAGTCAATGACAGGAGAGTTTGAATCAGATCCTTGAGACAAGCGAGACTTTGAAATTTTGGAAGATGCAGAAGGCATGACGCTTATATTTGCCCACTTCTCTGCATCCTTCAAAATCGGCCAAACATGATCAAATAGAAATCCTCTTTTCTCTTCTGGATCTTCTGCAAATATGATCCTAGCACGTTTATTCTACCACAAAAGAAGAAATAATTATTAGAAAAGGTGGAAAATAATTTAATAACCAAGAAACATGTAATTCATATACTTACAATATCAAGTTCAGAAGCACCGCTTGGATTGAGGCGCTCGACTTGTCGAATGCATCCTCGAAATTTACTGATGGCTTTCATAATTAATTGCATTCGGCATGAGAGAGACTTCGGGCTCCTATGTCCGGTGTAAACGTTGGAAATCCTTTCGTGAAATAGAGCTGAAATTCGCTCCCATAGCTTGTCTTTCTTTTGATTGGAACCTAAAACTGGATCCTGAGATATTTCAAGCCATGTAGCGCATAAAATTTGATCTTCTTCTTGTAAAAATGATTTTCCGCGACTGGATGCCATAAGAGAAGGACGAAGAGTTGTTGAGAAGAACTATGGAGGAGGAATGAGAAGAGTTGTGATGAAGGAATGAGGGTTGTGCTAGTATTTATAGTGAAAAAATTATGGAGAATTCAATGCTAGTGGGAGAAAGGAATGTGGGTAGACCGATGCGGGTGGGAGAATCCAATGTGGGTAGAAACCGATGCGGGTGGGAGAATCCAATGTGGGTAGAAACCGATGCGGGTGGGAGAATCCAATGTGGGTAGAAACCGATGCGGGTGGGAGAATCCAATGTGGGTAGAAACCGATGCGGGTGGGAGAATCCAATGTGGGTAGAAACCGATGCGGGTGGGAGAATCCAATGTGGGTAGAAACCGATGCGGGTGGGAGAATCCAATGTGGGTAGAAACCGATGCGGGTGGGAGAATCCAATGTGGGTAGAAACCGATGCGGGTGGGAGAATCCAATGTGGGTAGAAACCGATGCGGGTGGGAGAATCCAATGTGGGTAGAAACCGATGCGGGTGGGAGAATCCAATGTGGGTAGAAACCGATGCGGGTGGGAGAATCCAATGTGGGTAGAAACCGATGCGGGTGGGAGAATCCAATGTGGGTAGAAACCGATGCGGGTGGGAGAATCCAATGTGGGTAGAAACCGATGCGGGTGGGAGAATCCAATGTGGGTAGAAACCGATGCGGGTGGGAGAATCCAATGTGGGTAGAAACCGATGCGGGTGGGAGAATCCAATGTGGGTAGAAACCGATGCGGGTGGGAGAATCCAATGTGGGTAGAAACCGATGCGGGTGGGAGAATCCAATGTGGGTAGAAACCGATGCGGGTGGGAGAATCCAATGTGGGTAGAAACCGATGCGGGTGGGAGAATCCAATGTGGGTAGAAACCGATGCGGGTGGGAGAATCCAATGTGGGTAGAAACCGATGCGGGTGGGAGAATCCAATGTGGGTAGAAACCGATGCGGGTGGGAGAATCCAATGTGGGTAGAAACCGATGCGGGTGGGAGAATCCAATGTGGGTAGAAACCGATGCGGGTGGGAGAATCCAATGTGGGTAGAAACCGATGCGGGTGGGAGAATCCAATGTGGGTAGAAACCGATGCGGGTGGGAGAATCCAATGTGGGTAGAAACCGATGCGGGTGGGAGAATCCAATGTGGGTAGAAACCGATGCGGGTGGGAGAATCCAATGTGGGTAGAAACCGATGCGGGTGGGAGAATCCAATGTGGGTAGAAACCGATGCGGGTGGGAGAATCCAATGTGGGTAGAAACCGATGCGGGTGGGAGAATCCAATGTGGGTAGAAACCGATGCGGGTGGGAGAATCCAATGTGGGTAGAAACCGATGCGGGTGGGAGAATCCAATGTGGGTAGAAACCGATGCGGGTGGGAGAATCCAATGTGGGTAGAAACCGATGCGGGTGGGAGAATCCAATGTGGGTAGAAACCGATGCGGGTGGGAGAATCCAATGTGGGTAGAAACCGATGCGGGTGGGAGAATCCAATGTGGGTAGAAACCGATGCGGGTGGGAGAATCCAATGTGGGTAGAAACCGATGCGGGTGGGAGAATCCAATGTGGGTAGAAACCGATGCGGGTGGGAGAATCCAATGTGGGTAGAAACCGATGCGGGTGGGAGAATCCAATGTGGGTAGAAACCGATGCGGGTGGGAGAATCCAATGTGGGTAGAAACCGATGCGGGTGGGAGAATCCAATGTGGGTAGAAACCGATGCGGGTGGGAGAATCCAATGTGGGTAGAAACCGATGCGGGTGGGAGAATCCAATGTGGGTAGAAACCGATGCGGGTGGGAGAATCCAATGTGGGTAGAAACCGATGCGGGTGGGAGAATCCAATGTGGGTAGAAACCGATGCGGGTGGGAGAATCCAATGTGGGTAGAAACCGATGCGGGTGGGAGAATCCAATGTGGGTAGAAACCGATGCGGGTGGGAGAATCCAATGTGGGTAGAAACCGATGCGGGTGGGAGAATCCAATGTGGGTAGAAACCGATGCGGATGGGAGAATCCAATGTGGGTAGAAACCGATGCGGGTGGAAGAATCCAATGTGGGTAGAAACATTATATAATAACACAACATACACCTATTAACAACTCATCACCAATCTATAATTCATTTCTCCAAATCCCCTCTTCAACAATGAACTATGGAGCTGGACCATCACACCTACCATCTTCTTCTTCTTCTTCTTCTGATGACGAAACATTTTCTCATTACGTTGAACAATGGGAGGAGGATATGAAACAATGGGAGGAGGAGGATGAAATCTTAGCTCGTCTATATGTCGCTAACAATAAAATAATGGCTTATTTCTCTAAAGAGGAAGAGAGGCCAAAACGTATCGGCTCAGTTCCTGGTCATTTGGTAATCAACCGTGGGAGGGAAGAAGGTAATTCTCGACTCTACAATGACTATTTTTCTAATAATCCCACATACGGTGCAAATTTATTTCGTAGAAGATTCCGAATGCAAAGGAGCCTTTTCCTTCGTATCGTCGACGCTGTACGAGAGCACGATAACTATTTCGTACAGAAGGTGGATGGTGTCGGTCGGCTTGGACTATCTACTTTACAAAAAGTAACAGCAGCATTTCGCATGTTGGCATATGGTGCACCAGCAGATAGTACCGACGAATATGTAAGGATTGGTGAGTCAACTGTAATTGAATGTTTGTGTCCAACAGCATGGGCGGGACAATACTCAGGACGTCACGGAGGCCCAACCATTATTCTTGAGGCAATAGCATCGTATGACCTATGGATATGGCATGCATTGGGAAGTCTAGACTGTATGCATTGGGAATGGAAAAACTGTCCAACAGCATGGGCGGGACAATACTCAGGACGTCACGGAGGCCCAACCATTATTCTTGAGGCAGTAGCATCGTATGACCTATGGATATGGCATGCATTCTTTGGCTTGCCAGGTTCTAATAACGATATTAATGTATTACAAGCATCTAATTTGTTTGACAACCTAACGCAAGGTATTACTCCTCCTGCTCATTATACAATTCAAGGAAAGAATTATGATGTCGGTTATTATTTAGCCGATGGCATATACCCGAAATGGCCAACCCTTGTTCAAACCATTTCCAAATCCGAAGATAAAAAGAAACAATATTTTGCAATGATGCAAGAAGCTTGTCGAAAAGATGTGGAGCGAGCGTTTGGTGTTCTCCAGTCAAGATTTGCTATAATCAAGGGCCCTGCACGGTTTTGGGATAAACGAACTTTGCATGATATCATGACCACTTGCATAATAATGCACAACATGATTATTGAGGATGAACGTGATGAGCAAGAAGATATTATCGTTTCTACTCCACCATCAATTTCAAATGTTGAAGACATAGGGATGACCCGACATAAGAAATTCAAAGACAAAGAAGCACACTTCGCACTTCGAAATGCATTAATTGAACATTTGTGGGAGAGACACGGCAATGAAGTGATGTAACTTTTTTTTATTAAAATTTCGATGTAATTCTAAGTTAATGTGTTTTATTTCAGTTTAAGCTCTAATGTATTATCATTTCTAATTACGTGTTTTGCAATTTTATATTTCGATATTAGTCTCATTTTGAAGGTATCGACGAGACATTTCCAATGATATTATTTTTATTAAAAAATATTTAATATATTAATATATATATACAGATTTTAAGTAACTATAAAAAATAATAACGGGATACAATTGGAATAATAAAATGTTGTTAAAGAGATTGAGGGTTAACTTTGGTATTTTTTTTTGGGAATAGTGGTATAGAGTTGGCTGCAAAATTGGAGAGAAATCTCCAAATTGGAGGACGATTGGAGAAGCTCTTAAAGCTGCATGTAGACTAGCCCAAGCCTTTGACTGTTACATAATGGGCCCTTGTCAAGAAGTCCACCTCAATAGTTCAGGCCCTATGGCGCCTATCTACGCATGAGATCCATAGGAGCCTGATCACACCTGACTTCGCGCTATTACACAAGGGGCCTTAATTAGCCCATTAACTCTTTGTTAACAGAGCCTAAGTCCACTCCACTGCAATTAAAAGCATACTTCTCCTGCTAGAAGTTTTTCTGATAATTATGTCCTGTAAATAATAAAATAAGAATATCAAACCCTAATTCGGATCCGTGCTCAAATAGGTATGGATTCAGGTATTGCTTCCGCATTCTTGTGATTATTCTCTTTGAATCAATCATGGTTAAATTTACAACAAAAAGCTCACGAAATCCCCTTCTAAAGATTCCTAAATTCAATCAAAATAATTAAATATTTCTATTAAATATTCAGAAAATATTATATTTTATTCCTTCTATTTTATTTTTTTTATTGAGCTAAGATCGATCATTCATCACCTTTATCTTTTTTTCCCGAGCAATTCAACAAAATCCTATCAGGACGGCTCACAGCATGCCCGCGGGGTGTTCTGAGCCACAAAGAGAGCGGTGACTCTAGACTGCGACGGGAACTGCTGATCTCGTAGAATATGTGTACTCCAAATGTACAATTTACTACTGATCATTACCCACACAACTCTCTCTGCTCTTGGTGGTGTTTTCAATGGCAGTTTAAAGTCAAATCCTAACCTTGCAGCGTCCCCTTCATAAGCTAATCATGAACTTAATACCATGGTTTCATGCAGTTGTCATCTACTGCTTGTATTCTCTCTTTATGTGTGAGCTCTCAACAGCAACTCTTTACTTACTCACCGAGAGAGAGCTACAGGTGGGTGTCGCCCGTGAGTGTTAATTTTACATGAGACACTGAGATGAAACTCTGCACAAAAGGTTATTTTTGTGTGCTTACGCGTGCGCTAAGTAGAAACTATATGACGCTTGTCTGCTAGACATTTGGTATGTCGAAAAAGACTGTCTATCCTTCGACCTGTACTGAACGGGAAAACTTTGTATATGAGGATCTGTGCATGAGCGGCCATATGTTTTGCCTTTATCACGTCTCAAATCCGCTTGTTACCACATACCGTTATTTATTTTATTTTATTTTATGACAAGGGAAACCCGGTCAGTTCCCTCAACATAAACACCTTTTGGAGCCCGCCAGCGGCCCTGGTTCGAATCCCCTCAGGCTTCCCACATCTGAAAGGGGCTATCCTTGCTACCATGGGCTCATCCCCACGTGAATGGGCGATCATCGTGGGGCCCAAAAGGGCACGAACTGGTGAGCATATAACGGGTTGAGATAACTGATCAGTAAAACCCCGGGTTTCTGTCCCCACCCTGAAACCCACAGAAACCAGGTGAATGCGGCAGCGGGGATTTGAACCCCGACCAACTAGGGAGATCTCCTCCCTCACTCTTCGTGACGCTAGCCAGAAGTCCCACCCGTGGGGCATTTGAGAAGAATAAACTGCAGATGACCCCCTTTAGGATGGATTGGTAACAATTTGCTGATAAACAAGTTGAGAGGTGATAAGTTCTACCGAAGACAAAGATGAGGCAAAATTTTCCCATATTTCATTAATACATAAGGTGCGCGGTGAGCATTATTCATACAAAAAAGTTTTTAAAACTCATAAAGAATGTCACCTTCCTATTTTTTTCTTCCCACTACCCAGAATATGATACTTAATATTTCTATTGAGTTTGGTGGTATTAACATTCCAAGCAGTTAGCACAATGACAAAAACCTTATGGACCAAACCCTTAACAAGTCTCCAACTGCTAAGCATGCAAGTAGTTTAATTATCATCACTTTCTCAGTTGTTTGCTTTTGTTGAACACTTTAGTGTGTGTTGTTTCTTCTTTTCTTCTTCTTACCCTTCACATTTTGTTACTAATTTTAATTCGACGAATGACAAAGTTTGCACGTTCAATAGTCGGCTACGAAGTCCTGAATTGCTCAAACAGCACCAAAGAATTGTTTTGGAACAAATTTTCACTGTAGCCTGATTTTAATTTTTTATTATCAAAATCGACTGTGTATCCTTTTATTTACTGAAATCGACCGGTTTTCTCGCCACGTCAGCGTCGTGGCGAGAAAGCTGGTCGATTAATTTTTAATCGTCTTCGTAAACAGTCGGGGTTGGCAACCCCGACTGTTTAGTCCATCGCCTGTTAAGAGGTTAACTAAATGGTCGGGGTTGGGAACCCCGACCATTTAGTGAAGCTGTTAGCGGGCGCTGAACTAAACAGTCGGGGTTGCCAACCCCGACTGTTTACGAAGACGATTAAAAATTAATCGACCAGCTTTCTCGCCACGACGCTGACGTGGCGAGAAAACCGGTCGATTTCAGTAAATAAAAAGAAAGCTGGTCGATTAATTTTTAATCGTCTTCGTAAACAGTCGGGGTTGGCAACCCCGACTGTTTAGTCCATCGCCTGTTAAGAGGTTAACTAAATGGTCGGGGTTCCCAACCCCGACCATTTAGCAGAGCCCAGCGATAGTGTTTGCGTCAAAAGTTGGTTTTGTTATGGAATTCATTATATCTTCGGTCGATTACAACAAATTCAAAAGAGATAGTCTTTTTATAAGACTTCTTTTACACAACAAAAGGAAAATTACAATTCTTGAGAAACAAACGCAGGATCGTTGTTTGGATCGCTGCTTGCGTGGGATCTTTGCCTGTGCCGGAGGCGCGTTAGCCCGTGGACCACCGAATCACAGATTCTGATTGAACCGTGAGGGGTTTAATGATTCTTCCTTCGTTTATCGAAGTAAGAATTTGAAGCGAATATCTTATCGATGTAAGATGTTCACTCTTCCAAAGATCAAGTCTGAGCTTAGATCTCTAGGACTCGCTAGAAGCTTCTTGAGGATGTTTGTGAAGAAGGAAGACTCTCTCTCTTGCTCTAATTCACCAAAACTCAAGGCTCTCTGCTCTAATCTCTCTGGAAAATGCTCAGCCCCTGTCAATGATGGCTATAGGGGGGTATTTATAGCCTCCTTAGACGATAACTGAAGAAATAGCTGGTCAATAACTGTCTCTTTAGGCGCGGCAGCTGATGCTGTCGCGGCTAAAGGGCGCGACAGTCGACACTGTCGCGGCCAAAGAGCGCGGCAGTCGACACTGCCGCGGCTAAAGGGGCAGTTACACCCACGTTCATACGTGTTTGAAACAGTTCTCCCACGACCTTTAACCACCTTTTTCGTGGTTTAACTGCTTTTCCACATCAGCACACGTTCTATTTCTGATACTCCGCCACGTGGACTTTAAATAATCATCAGATAACTGTATTATAACTGCTGTAGCATCCTGCTTTAACTGCCGCGGCACCATAGGTTGCAGCGGTTAAGCCGCGACACCATAGGCTGCCGCGCCTTAGCCGCGGCACCTTGGTCTGCCGCGCCTTAGCCGCGGCACCTTGGTCTGCCGCGCCATAGCCGCGGCACCATGTCCTGCCGCGCCGCCATATGTTGCTTGATGACGTGTATATTGTTCTTCTATATCGTCTTGAGTGGTGTTTGAATGTCTGTAAGCATTTTTTGACGCCTACATATATATATAGGGAGAGGTTCAAATACAAACCTCACTATCCTAAAAACTAAAAACCTCTCCTCTCCATTGGATCTAGATTCATCCAATGGCTGAGATTAAAGCTGCATAAGGGTAATAAGGTAAAATAAACAGCCCACTAAAGAGAAGTAATTAATGCTTCTCCATTTCCCAAAAGCTTGAACCACTAAAAGCCAATCCTCTCACGTTCTCCTCTCTCTCTCTCCATTTCCCAAAAGCTTGAACCAGCCCTCTCTCTTACTATAAGCATTGATTTACAAATGTATAAAATTGTACCCATTAATTGCTATCTATTTGGATTGGTCGGGCAATGAGATCTTCTATGCCCGGCTTGTCTGCAATATCCACATCTATTTTTTTTCGGAGCTCCTTCCCGGCCTTCATCCATAGTACCTTTTAAGCGTACTGATCGTGGGCGTCCGGCTTGTCTCTTATAGCTTGGAGGCACCACATGCGGCCCGTTATAGTGTGGCCAATAACGACTATCATGTACGGGGTGGAAACACTGCTTATATGCCTCTCTATAGTTGCTTGATTGATACCACTCAGAAGCGTATGTGTAATACGAAATATTTGCACCCCCCGATTGCTTGGACGTAACCGCTATGACATGTGGACAAGGCAATTTTTGCAATTCTGGTATGTTACAGGTGCATGTGCAATGTGCACCTCCCAAATTGACGGTGTAATTGTGACCATGTTTGTCTGTAACCTCCCATTCATCTACAGCAAATCTAACAATCTTCGTGCCTCTCGCCTGCTTAACTCGAGCCTCTAAAATCGCCTCATTTTTTGGTGTCAAGAACGAGGCCCACATTGCTCCATCCTCTCGCCGCTTGACAAAATAGTAATTGAGCCTATAAAATGTCCTCGCAACCAACGCCTGTATGGGCATTGCCCGAGCCCCCTTAAGTACCCCGTTGAAGCTTTCAGAACAATTGGTTGTCATCATGCAGAACCGATTCCCTCCATCTTTACTGAGTGCCCACCG